ATCCTAGAAAATTGCTTAAACAAGCCACAACTCCATAATATTTTAGCACCTGCAGTGCAGGGGCAAAAAACGGCAAAAATATTTTTTTGTTCGACTTAACGATGTGGTGCTGTTTAACGCTCATGCACTGAAAGTATCAAGACACCGTGGAGCTACGACCTACTTAGATGGTCCTTTAAGCTACTAAAAGCAAAGGGACGTTTCGACACGTAAATTTGGAGGACTGACAAGGAGAATGTTATTCGTACCGAAGGTAAAGAAACTGCAGTATGCTAGTAAACACATGATAAGAGGGTTTATTTTTGGCAGAGGATAGAATAGTCTGAACTCTCAACGAAATGAGCCAGTTTTTATGTCAGTGGCGTAAAGAATGATTTTTGTACAGCATTACGAGATGTTTATCTAAAGACCATTGGAAAAAAGCATCCATCCACAGAAGGGTTTACTGAACTCAATCTTAACTTAATCCCCGTGAAACATGAATCGCAGCGTCGGAACGGGTCAATAATCTAATTGCCAACATTTAGCGTTATGTATAAAGAGTTCGTACTTAATGCTTCTTTCTGTATGGTACAAGCGCAAGAACGAAACAACGAATGAACACTCCATTCGATTTAATTCACAGATACGGACGGCAAGCCGATAGCCAGAAAAGACTAGGAACAGTGTATTGCTTAGATTTGCGGACTCGGAACAGTGGAGTTCGTTGATGGGAGAGTGTCGAGGTTGGAACATTGTGTTATTCCGGTCTCTGCCCTCGAACTGAAGTGTCTTTGATTCATCTCTGAGTATGTAACAAATCTTAAATTCAATTTCAATGAAAGCATTTAGTTTCTGGTCGCGAAGGAAGACGCGTCCGACTGCGATTCCAAGATTCCTGATACTGTGCTAGCGCTTGAGCTTCGTCAGAATATTAAGGGAGTCTAGAGAAAGGTCCTTCAACACACTTTGCGTTGGTCAATCTTGGCTGCCCACCAGGGTCTGTTGCTGGTCAGTTGAAGAGTAGAGGGGGTTTCGCCTTCCTTTCTGAAGGAATTCGCAGAACTTACCCAAACTATCGCAGACATTATTTTTAGATTTTAAAAAGCAGCGACTGAACACCAAAACCATCTCCGATGTTCGTACTCTGTATCATTTCGAGACGTGCGAGGTCAATGGTTCGCTTCAGAAACCACATTTTAGCCACTTGCAAGAGAGACCGAAAAGTTGAATCACGGCCCACGGGAACGGGAAATGACAACAGTAATCATGGGGATGAAGATCACTTTGAACACTTGGAGCTCAATTTTCAAAGTCAGCTTTGCTCTAATCATAAAGGTTTAGGGCTAGTTCAAACAGAAAGTCGACGGCGGTTCTAATCTGCCAGTCAATCTCTTCCTCTCATTCTCCATCACCTGCAAACTCGACCATGAGAAACTTCAACTTTTCCACATTCTCTATTGTTTCCATGTTTATATGAAGGTAGCAATGGGCAGAAAAACAGGAAAGCACTAAGATTTCCGTCTCTAATATGCATTCGTCACTCACACTCGGCTGTGAATTTTTCAAAAAAATACTGCAGATCCTCTGCGAACAGGAACCTTCTCATCTTGACATCTTCGACTCTCATACACTCGTCGTCATGGCTGCGCCTGAATATTCCACCAGTCTACAATACAAACAAGAGGGAACAGAACGTAGACTAGGCGGAAACAAACGCCAACGCTGAAAGGTCTCGAACTTAGGACATTTACTCTGACGCAGCTCTTACTATCAGTTATCTGATGATTGGACGTAGCAACTGACGATCCATCCAATGTTTGCAAGCACGCTCATAGAATGTTGATTGGGGATCCGTTAATAGGGTTGCTATACGCAACAAAACATGTATAAACCGAATGTGCAAACATATGCGATATCTGGTAAGAAGTGCTTCAGTCAGACCTGAAGTCACGCTGCTCTTCTTGTACCTTAGAGTAGGCTATTTCGCAGCACGTCCTTTCCAACATCTTTTTTCTATGAAAACACTCCGACAATGAAGCACTATTGTCTCGTTTTTTAAACATAGGTACTACAGCTCACCTACAGAAAAGCACCACAACCTCGCAGTACAAAAACTTAATTAAAAGTTGAGAAACCCAAATACGAAAGTAAGCACAATTTGCCTTGCTCGATTTTGTCCCTGGATCCATGAGAATTCGAATTGCAATAGTTTGCGTGTGATAAGTGGAAAAGAGCTTAATTCATATTATCGATTATGACTAGAAACAGTTTTAAAAAATAAATGCATCTGCTAACATTGATAAACTCTGTCGCTGTGTAACATATATAAAACCGCAGTAGTGAACTGTTTATTTGCACTCACATTCTTAAATTTTGTGCTCATAGAGACCACAAGTTAAAGGAAACCAAATCAGAGCCAAGTTATTTAACCAAAGAAATGAAAGAAGCGAGACTAACTTGCGCTTCAGAATGCTACATCAAACAAATCGATTGAAATCGTGCCCTAAGAACAAATAGAATAAATTAAAAATTGCATTAAGGCAAATAGGCAATGTGTGTCATCATTTTGCTTTAGCACGTTGCAGCGTTAGGCCATTGCAACGGAAGGGATTAAATTTTAAAGTAGTGCAATTTTGCACGATAACATTCAACTTGAAAGTTCACTGTAATTATCATCATTAGAACTAAAAGCAAACTGCTGAAATAGTTTTCTTCAACAGGTTTGTTACCTTTGTTTTAAAGACCTTAATGATATCTTTGAACAAGGGCACTTTCAAACAGATTCGATGTGTTTAATGACAGGAGTAGATGATTTAAAACACTGATTTACATTCTCTCCTTAGTGGCAAGAGAGAAAGTATTTCTCTAAAACAACAAAGAACAGATTTAATGATTCTCGTTTCTTGATTAGCAGTTCAAAGCAACAATTTACAAAGAATCTTGTAAATTCCTTTAAACATCAAAGCCGGTGTGCGGCGTCGAAATGCGTTGGTGAGTAACGGAAATTACATAATCATTTTAAAATTGTTTTTTGAATTACAGATCGAGAAACGAGGGTTCTTAATTGCTATCTAAATAGGCAACGAATCGATGTCCTTCCACAACCATTAGAACAAAGCAGTGTAAACCTAATACCGACGTTTTGTTGCGCATTATAAGACATCAGGATAAAATGGCTGTCTCGTGACTAAAACTGAAGTGGCGTTTTCTGACGGTATGATTTTGAAAACGGTTTATATACAACGCAAATTAATTTGATCGGTTGAATAATCGGGCCGACGCTCCAGCCACTATGTAACCGGTCGTCTTGAAAGCAGAGACGAGCAAGCTCGGGAAGTTCTTCTTGTCGTTTACAGTAATTTACACTTGTTGAGCCACAAGACATTCCGAATACAAACTGAAAGCAAAATATAACCTGTCCATTAATTCTGAAAAAAGAATGAGGCACAACCAGTCTATGAATTTATTTCAATGAAATGTAACAAAATATTTATACTAAGTTCTCTTTGTTAAACATGAATGCGGCTTTAGTTTGCTTGAGGAAACAATAATCGAAGGAGAATCAATTCCCCTCTATCACAAAGAAGTTAATTTTGTGAGGAACCAACTGAGATCATTGAATTATTTATTAGAAGTTTATAGAATATCGTAATGGTAACGTCAACAGGAAAGATTTTGGTAGGACTGAATTCAAATCGAGCGGACTACAACTAATTAAATCAACACAACTCAATATTTTAAATCAGCTTTCGGAGCATAACTGACAAAGAACAGAAAATCACCTCTACAGGATATTCATTTGTTAAAAAAAGTTAGCAACTATTTTACCCAATGCAATACTTTTAAAATGGGACACATTTTACAGCATTTTTAAAGTATCAATAGAACGAACCGCTTTTCATCGCATCAATAACAAACCGGATATCACAGGAAGCTCTGCTAGAAACTGAACAAAACCTCGTCTGTAATCAGTGTATTGAAATGAAGTCTACTTGAATGGATACATCCCTTCAACTCACCAATGACGCGTACAGAAATACATAAACGAGATAAAACAACGTTTAATAAATGCAAACAGAAAATTACAGCATTTATACATTTTGCCAACCTGCTTTGGCAATTACCCTTAAGGGAAATTCAGTTCCTGAACCATTACAATTTAGTTCACTTACACAGAG